CAGGAGTGATATTGAATGGGGATGTAGAATTTACTTTGGTCGAATCGAGTAAATTATATTTTGAGTGGCTGCTGAGTATTCTCAGTAGATCATCACTCAAATCGCCTGTGAACGATAACTGCTTTTGATGGTGTGTGATTTTCTATAATGTTCTTCTCGATCAAATGATCCGGGGCCAGATTCAAATTCTCAATGCCAAAGACTGTTCTAGGCTTCATACAAATTTGTTTGGAATGAAACTTTGAAAATCAATATATTGACCGTTCCATGTTGGTTCGTAAAAAATCGAACGATGTTACTTTCCGCTGAGATATCTTACTCGCATTACGGTTTTATAGTCAAAATAACCATCTCGATAGTTCGGTGCTTGAAGGGTAGAAAACTGTTTTGGTGCTTCAGTATGCAACAGAATCAGTTGAATGGCCCAATCGCGACAAGATATTTAACAGGATGATGTGGAACGAACGAGCAGTGTGGCTTTGCAATGATAATACAGCAGTGAAATGTTCAAACAACAATTGGTAGTAGTTGAATTAGGCACACGACAAATTACGAATCACGAATCGCGGACGCATCGGAAACACTGAACAGCACTGGTATTTGTACGCTGCTATCTCAGGCCAGTGTGACGCAAGGAAAAGGCCATAGAAATAGCAGTTCTTTTATTGAAAGAAATCATTGAGATTGGTTTTACGGATATTCACCAATAACCTGTTTGTATTCTTGACATCATACAGCTTCTGTTTGAACAGCAAGACTTCTAATTGGTCGACATGATTGATCGGTGATTCGTTGTCCAGAAACTCTTATACGTCGTTCCGTGGCTGGCCTTATCCCGTAGGCTAGGGTCACTACATGATTGTAAATCTCGGTAACGATGACGCGCACGTATATCGATGAAGCAGGATCCCCGGGTATCCCCGGAACATGGCACAATATGACTGTTCAGAGGATGGGAAGAAAAGCACACTGGCAAATGTTTACGCGTTACGTTAGAGGTCGAGGTATATACATACAGTGCGATTGCATCATCGTTTCACATTGTCTTATCTTTCTTACTCGTGGCCTCGAACAAATAACTTCCCTCTGACCCTCCCTACGATCTGAATGGATCATTTCCCGCGATTTTCGGCATTCGGAATCCCTTATCCATGTGGTGATGGCACTCTTGCTGTACAGTCGACGTTCACTAGGCTTGCCTAAGACTCACGGTTGTAAATAAGGTGTGGTTTCTCGCTCGGGTTAGCTGGGCAAGTACCAAGTCTCTTGTTACGGCTAAACCATCTAATCGATCGATAAATGAACCCGATCGGTCGTGTGTTTCTTGGATCAGTATAGGAAGAGGACAAGTTCTGAATCGGTTGTTGATTAGGAGTTGGCCGAGAATGACCACAGGAAAGGCAGTTGTGGAACGTTACACCATGTGAGAAATTCGGAATAGAAAAAGTGCGAAAAATGATGACACTGGGCTAACGTGTTCAAATGAAAAATGATGTTCAGCATCATTAGCTCGAAGTTCTGATAGCTTGTGTGGTCCTGTATTAGTGGATATTGTAGTCTGTTTTTAAGACAAATTCACAGTTTCATTACGTTTACCGAATCCGCTTATAAAAACGGAACAGTTGTGAGTGTATCTTAGACGAGTCAAGTGTTGGCTCGGATGGGGAGAAGACCACACTCACAAATATGCAGACATTAGGTAAACGGCCTAGGTATATATTACGGGATGTGGGACCGGGGGCTGAGTACGAACGCAACACTGTATCACCCCAACCTCTGCGCTACAGTATGAGGTTGGTTAACCTTTATATTCTGAATAGTGATCAATCACTCATGGACACGGGGCTTGAGCCTGCACACTCCGATCAGTTAAGTCATTGCAACCAATCTATAGGATATCCGGACAATGGGATTTGTAAAATGCACAGCAAATACAGTATAAATTTAAATCATCAATGGGGCTAATCTTTCCAGGCATTTTCATTGTCTATCGATAAGAAACTGTTCTATTTCGAACATCTTTGCTGTCCAATGATTAGCTTTTACAGGTGTTCAGCTGTGAGAGGACACTGGGATTAATAGGAAATTTCGGAAATGAAGTGTACGCGGATCAGAGTTTCCAAACCAAAATCAACCAATTTAAAGACGCTGTATTCGCTTAAAGAACGGATAATTGAGAGTAATGGAGAATCTGATTTGTTTATATGACATATATGTCGTGTAAATGAGACAAAACCTGAAAAGCTGGGAAGCACTACTGGACAGCTGTATCGACCTAATTCGATCTCGTCATCACATTGCGATGAGTTGTGCTATATCATGTATATCCAAAATGAGAAACAATTTGATCAGCTGCATACCGGTGATCGCGTGGATAATATGCTTGCGTTCTACCTGTGTTGAGGTCCCGGATTCACGATCCCTAGTTGGTTGGGTCTATGGATTCACTCATTGAACGGATGAGACTCAACTAGGTCGAAACAGCTGTCCAGTGCTTTTTCGCTTACGCCTCATTTACACGACGAATGTATCGTATGAAGAGATAAATGAAAACCAATCATCAACAACAACAACAACGAAAGAATAGAATCAACAAGCACCATGCTGATCGAGGTAGTAGTATCATAATATAAGATCAGTCTACTTTATTTTGAGGTCAGCTGTCAAGTGTGTGCACCGTGTTGATCAGTTCACTATGTGTATGTACAAAGCATGAGGTCGTCCTGATGCACTTGACATAGAGTATACAGGTCTGACTGACCTGAAACTCCTTAGACGCACACCGAACGTGTACCGGTGGCCATGGTCAACAGAGGTCACTGTGGCGTTAGATACACAACTGTGTTACATTAGCTTTCTTTTTTTCAAAAGATATCTTTCTTGGCATTTCGATAACATTGAATAAGTTGTCTCCTGTCACCAAATACATATATCACCGAATAGGTTGCCGAGGTGAACGATGCTTGCCCAGACAGGTAGTGGGTAGAATAAAGCCAAGGATGGTCAAGGTAAGACCTGGAGAGATGGAGGAAATGAACCTTAATCAGGAGATTACATCCTAAGTGTCACGTTAGGCTTCCTGGATGGGGAGTCCGAGGTCATGGTAACCGGTCATGAAGAGACACTGAATGATACGGTTGTGTTGTAGGCAATGATGTTCATGCCTCTTTCCCATTCCTTTACAACCTTATTTCACTGAAATTCCCCATTTTCTCTTCAACTCCACACTCAAGTTTCTGTTTTCCTCCTAATGTTTTATTCAAATGGACCGCCAAAACACGGCAACGAAAACCGACGCATGAAAGCACAGTGTTAATGATTGTACAAATTGAAACTAAAACTACATATTATATTATCTTTTTTAACTGTGTAATAACCATTTCTTTTTTCTCATTTCCATTTGTTCCAAAACATTTTCCATAGATATTCCAATCATGTGGGATACGGAATTGCCTGTCTCTGTTTTTCCTTGATTAGTGAATCCAATGTACGGGATTTCACTGCACCGACTCATATTTCTTTATCATATGGATTATTCTAACGTGATTTGTTTAGCAGACTGGCGGAACTTAGAAGTGTTATATATATATATGTATATATATTTGATACTAAGTAGTATGTGAATGACTGGACACAATTTCCCCGGAAGCATACAACCGGCTCCGCGGTTCTTGCCGCTCGTCAGGCAGCTCTTCCAGAGCCAGTTCATTGCAGAATCAATGCTAACATTCGATGTTTTTGTAAATGCGTTAGATGCTACTAACTACAATATATGTATATAGTATCAAGTACTATATGAATAATTCGATAATATCTCCCTGGAAGATTACGACCGGTTACGCAGTTCTTGTCACTCGTCAGATATGCGTATGGGGTGAAAATTTGTCACTTCATTTAATATTTTTAAAGCCAGTATGTGTATTTTGTTTCCAGTTATACTCAATTCACAATACCGGGCAAATTTGTTCGGACAGTTTAATCAGAGCTAATCCATTTCAATTTAGTTTCAGTTTTCATAACCAATAATCATACATTTACATGCATCAGTTTTGGTTGCAGTCTTTTGGTCGCCTGTTTTCATAAAAAAGCAGAATAAAGATTAGATTATTAAGACCAAAGTCAAAAACAAGATAGAGGATTCATGTAGACTGGTGTTAGAGAAATAACGAGTTGGTGCGCGAGCGGCACTGTTTACGATACTCAATCATATCACTCAGTGTCTCTAACTACCGCCGACCATGATCTCAGGGTCGCCAATCAGGGAGCCTAACGGAATTTTTGTGACTTCGTCTCCCAGTTAGGGTTTTCATACCCTCATGCCAGGTCTTCTTTTGATCCCCTTTGACTTTTTTCACCCAATACTCGGCAAACATCGCTCACCGTAGCAAACCAATTTGGTGACGTGTACCATACGCCACAATTAGCGTAATCTATGGAAATCGACCACTTTTTTCAGCTGACAGTCGCGATCGCCCGAAATCTATGCATGCGCCTAACCTCATCACTGATTGTCCGGTTTCCTCACCAGACGTTTGCAGCGCTGCGAAGACAGCGGTGTTCGGATAGCGACAACTGATTGAAGAATCTAAACGATAATTCAATGTTTTGTAGTCACGTTAGATGCAACTAACCGCGAAAAGGTGAGTTGAGCGTCTTTATGGAATATTTCACAACAAGTTGTATACGAATGTAAGAGTTTCCAGGGACATTTTCCATTGACTCATTCATATAATATATATTGTAAAATATATACATATAGTCCAAGTGATATCTCACTATCGAACTTTTTAGTATTATATATTGTAGATATACATAATTGCAAGCAACTTTAAGTGAATGTCTGTATTTAACAAAATGCAAATCTGTAGAAATTGACATACATTTGAAGTCATTTAAAATTACTATATAAATGTTCCCCACGGAGATTGCAGATTCTGTTTTGAGTTAGTTGTTCCTGGAACCGGAAAAGTTTTCCGCCCGTCACCGAAGTGAATCATCCGTCATTGACGTAAACGTGCTTGGAATCCGAGAATGAAAATACGCACAGTTTGGCTCAAATTGCTCCAGCAGAATATGATCCAAATTGTGGAAATTGTGGCACAGGCAATCGCAGCCGTGGACACAGTGGCCGCGATTGCATTCTGCCGAATAGCAAAATAGCTGGAGACATAAGTACCTTCTGTGCCTGGATTTCAAGAGACCGAGGCAGAGAGAGAGCGAGAAAGAAATAATACATAGTTGAAAGTGGACACTTTTATCAGTTATCGATTAATTACAAGTGATACGTTTTGAAGCATTCAGTCTCTTTAATCCATTTAATCCATATGAAAAGACGGCAAATGTCACTAGTTGTGTTAACATTTCGTTTCATCTTCTCAATTGCTGACTTTGAAACCAACAGGCACATATATAGCACATAGGGTTTGTTCAATTATGATGGATAAACTTGTACAGACATATAAAGATTACCAAATGTAGAAGTAAAAGGTCAACTCTTCGGTAAGTGAATTGATTGCATGAACAACGTTTGTGCGTATAAGGTCGGGTGATGTAATCGAATAAGCAGCACTTCACTAATGACCAAACGTTTAGCATTGGAATCACGTAATAGTGATATTAACGGCTAATTGGGGTGTATTGTTATCATGAGATGTGCTGCAACACATGATCCTGGATTTCTTGTAATCCCTTCACCATCAATTATCGGTTATGTCATCGATTTCACCAACCACTTTGGAATATGTTCAGTCATCCGTTGTGAGAGCTAATGGTTTGTTCTGTCTATGCGTGCGTCACCGCAATTACATGTGAACTGGTATTTACAGTGTATGAGACGGAACCGGTTTGCCAGTAATGTCAACGTTTGTGCATATCAGTTCTACGAGTAGAGGCAATGAGTCTGAGGTTACCAGCTGGGAATGTAGGGTCAAGTGCTAAACTCAGCTTGTGGCGCACATCATTGTAAATGTGGTCACCTCTAAACGCAAGCTTGATGTCGATGATATTTTTACTGATATTTTGGGTTGGGTTACCTTTTGGAAATGGTTTATTGTGAATATCTATAAACATTTCTGAATAACCATTGTTTAGCAATGTTCTCCTTAGGAAATCTTCTTCGTTCAGTGTATCTGCAAAACAAATATTTCTCACCCGATGAAATAGNAATAGGGTTCTCACAAGTCCCTATTTGTAAGTCGTGAAGGCGAAGCTGGAATAGTGTAGGTATAGACCAATGCCTCACATTTTTCAGTAAACTGAGCGTTGTAGTGTCTCATTCATGCATACAATCAATCCATTTGTCTTGGAGTTGATCTTCTACTTCTGTATTTAGTAATGTTTGTATGCTTATACATATACTTTCATACATACATAAATACATACATACACACATACATACATATGTGCTATATATGGGCCTGCTTGTTTTAAGCCCACGATTGAGCAGATTAAACGAAATATTAACACATTTCTCGACATTTGGCTGCTTTCTGGATTGATGAAATGGGAAAACTGTTAGACTACCAGTTTGAATGACTGAACAGCTAGCTGATCTTCGTGAATATGGGGTTTCCTCGTTTTCTGTTCACCAGACAAATGTGTGTAATAAAAAAACTAAAAGAAATGTATAAAAAACTGGCTATTTGCATTTGTATAGGTAGAGCAATACACATTGTTTGATCCTGTGCGAGGTGGATCTTATTACCCTGTGTACAAAGTGATGCTACGTGCTTCAACAATTTGATTGAGCTTCCCCTACGGTTAGGACGATTTTCCAGTTACCAAGCTAGCGTCAGTTGGTCGCTTTGTGATCGGTTATGGTGAAGAAACTGCCTGGACGAAACGCTTCTCCATCTTGCGCTTGAGTTTGCTTTCAACATTCCAATCTTCAGTCTGCTCTTTTACCTTAATGGGGCACCAAAAGACAACAACCAAAACCGACGCACGAAAGTGCATGGTTAATTAATGGTTGTAAAAACTGAACCGAACTGAACTTCTGACTGCATATTGGTAGGAGGTGGTAAGCAGTTTGATCGCAATTGCTTCATCAGTGCATCGAAGGATAAAGCCGACTGATTTAGACAACAGCGGTGTAATCCGATCAACGGTTCCAACCTCTTGACTTAGGTCAACTTGACGATTACTTTCGAGTAGGTCCTGACGTATCATGTTTCTCGCTGTTCTCGTTTCTCCGTGTGCTAACCATCGGGGATGGTGTTCCTTTATTCTATTTGACAATTCTCTTTTTGTCCGGCCTATGTAGTTTGCTCTACAGGAGCAAGTAAACGAATGGATGCACATGGATATAGTCTGAGGAGATAATCTATCTTTGAGATAGAAAGGAATTCCTGGTGATGTGGAGAAACTGATGCGCAGTGTTATCATAGTGACGATCTTTCATAAAGGTACACAAATATTCGCTAGGGTCCATTCGTGAACAATGACCTTACGTCCAGTGAGAACATAGATTGAGAAAAGATGTTTAGATCTTTGATCTGATAAACACCATGGAAAGTCTCTCTTAAACTCCGTGTTTATATCATCTTCCTGATTGGATCGAGCATCTGAGCTAGCCATTTAGCCGCGGCGTGATATGGTGAGTTTTCTTATCCAATATCGACCTCAGTGGTAGATTGGGCTTGTGAATCTTGGAGAATCCGTAGAGTCTTGGAATTGATTTGGACAGACGTAAACATGACTTACCCCACGCTTTTGTACAGCGCACGCTCTACCAACTGAGATACCAGACTACGAGCTACGAGTGCTATCGGTGTGGCCTCGTAGCTCAGCTAATAGAGCGTGCATTGTACAAAAGGGTAAGCGGCATCCGTGCTTAGGTTCGAATCCCACCGAGGGTACTGAAACTTTCACAATCGACAGAATAACTTCAAATCTGTCAAAAAATAATTTGAACAAGTAAACATGACTTTCAAGCCAGTTCCGTCTCACACATACACTGTATACTAGTTCACCTTCAGTTGTGGTGACGCGTACATAGACAGAATAAATCTTCAGCTCTCACAGCGGATAATCGAACATATTCCAAAGTGATTGGTGAGATCGATGACGCGACCGATAGTTCATGGTAAAGGGATTACAAGAAATCCAGGGGCATCTGCTGCAAAACATCATAAAAACAAGATACACATTTGACCCCAATCCGTTTTTCAAAGTACTATTAGGTAATCACAGTGCTAAACATTTGACAACTAGTAAAACCCTGCTTATTCGATTACATCAACCGACCTCATACGCATAAAAGTTCTTCATACAATCAATTCACTTATCGAAGAGTTGACCTTTTACTTTTATATTTGGTTATCTTAATGTTTGTACAAATTTATCCAACATAACTGATCAAACCCCACGTGCTATATATGTGCCTGTTGGTTTCAAAGTCAGCAATTGAGAAGATGAAACGAAATGTTAACATAACTGGTGACATTTGTCTTCTTTCTGTATTGAAGTGATAAACTGCTAAAAATATGGTGATATTTTGAACTAAAAAGTAACAGAACATGAACAGAAAATATCATATCAACAGGCGACAATACAGTTTCATCCGATTGCAACGCAAATCTATTCATTGAAGAGAAACTCACGTGCGCACGGATGTTCCGCGCAACGCGCATATTCGATCGCCGCTCCGCGGCACTCTTTTTTCACCGGAGCATCTTCACGCATGGACAGACAGTCACGTGAACGTACAGTCATACGGACATCGCCACAGAGTGGACGACATAGATCCCATGGGGACCATTCTGTCCATTCGCCGACCCATTCAGTGCATGCTTTGCCCGCATAGCCCGGGGCACAGATACAATTCGGCTTCAAGAGGACAAGGAGAACGGTGATGAAAAGAAAACTCATAAATTACATATGCTGAACTGCCAAAAGAAAACAACCCAGAGGTTTTCGGGGTTTGAACACTCAAACTGAATTGAACTATTCCGAACTATTCCGGACAGTTTTCCCTTTTCAGTTTCAGTTTAAACAACCGTTTATCATGCATTTCCGTGTGCCAGATTTTGGTTGCTATTTTTTGCGGCCCATTTGGATGAAACAAGAGGAGTGAAACAGGAAAACTAAAATGAGAGTCAAGTAAAAGTGCAGAATTTCAGTGGATTAAGGCTGCACAGAAATTGAGAAGATGCACGAGTAACACGGTTCGCAACACTCAGTCATATCACTCAGTATCTCTAACCATCGGGTAGAATCAGTCCAAGGTCCCCAGCCAAGAAGCCTAAC